TGTCAAAATGTTGTTTCCTAATAACTCTTTTAGGATTACTGATATCTCCAAGCAACGATATGGTAAAACAGCAGTTAGAATTGTGTAGAGTTGGCACACCATTTTTGTGCAATTACAGCCGCTGCTATCAGCTATAGAACTGATAGGAACATCTTTCAGAAACTGGGCATTAATTTCACAAGTTTAACATTCAAGTACATTAAGTAACGTTAGGATAACAACGTATGTAGATTCCACTAGCAGAAAAATATTAAATGGATAAAAAAAACTTCTCTACCGGCCTCAATACGAAATATACAATGATAAAAAAACCTATACTAAGGTAACATTATTTGCTCAAATACTTAATTCACGTTTAAAACCCACATTTTTCCCCTACGAAAATTTACAAAGAAAAAACAAACGACAATAATTCCATTATTTACGAAAAGTAAAACAATCAAAGTTTTTTTTGTCCTAAACGAACACGATTACTTAAACCAAGCTTGTTCAACTTGAGGTTCTAGGCTTTGATTAAAAAGACAAAAACTTCTACCGAAAATTATTGTGAACGAAAGAAATATAGAACAATTATTTAGATTAGATGCTATTTAAACAAATAGACTTTTGAATATTTAAACACAAACTTGAAGCTCAGCAGATTAAAAAATAACCCAAAATAACCACTATTCCACTATTCTACATTTAAATTGTTGAAAAGTTATTAATTCATATCTAAGCACTCTGATAAAATATGTTTGTATTCATTAGTACGCAGCGTGAAGCAACGTATGACTTATGAAGAAAATATTCACTTTTTATAACCATTCGAAATATAAAACTAAATACTTAATACCTCTTTCATGCATCCATCTATTTAATTTGCTTCTTGTAATTTGTTATAATTAAAAGTAATTCGATCTTTACAATAAATAACCCGTCGGATAAAGTATCAATACGCAACTCCCTTGAACAAGCTTCGAGAAGACCTAATATTTCGAATTATTTATGGTCACTCTTAATAAGAAATGTTAAGTCTGGCCCAATTTTAGAAATGCATACTATTTATGTATCATTTTTCCAACAATAAAAATACAAAAAAGAAACTCGTACTTGTAAAGAATCTTCAAAAATTTTGTGATGGCGTCATCAACATTTTCGCAAGAAACGTATATCAATTTGGATGGATGTAATACTAAAAATAACAGTACTGTATTCCAAAATTTTCGGGAATATGCAGTAAGTCATTCTTCATTCAAATAAAATAAACTGTCTCGTTCATTATTTGAGTCACCCTGTATAAGCAATTCTAAAAACTACGAGTGCATTGGTAACCCACAAGTATAAGTCCTAATATTTTACATATTTAAGAGAGGATTTATTAGACAAAATTTTGAGATCAATTTTCTGGGAGGAGATAAACAAATAAATATTAAGTAATAATTTGTCATAATTGCGATAACCTTAAAAAGTTGCTTTTTTTTTAAATCTGTATGTATAAGGTTAAAGCTTAGCACAGATTCATACATCACAAGTGAACGATATCTTATTTTATAAAATTAAAACAAAAATTATTGTGAGTGGCTGGAGATGATACATAATATTCCTAATACACATGCAAAATATGACAACAATCGGTCCAGTAGTTTCGGAGATTACGTCTCAAATAAAGATCGACACAAACGTCAGACAGACTGACAGACAGAGAGTTAAACGGAAACGGGAAATCACTTTTTTAGTGCATTTGGGGACATGAAACCTCGAGAAAACATGAAAATGGCAAAGTCGCTCGATGGATCCAATTAATATACTTCCTTAGCTTACGCCCAGGAAGTAAAAAAATCAAGATTCTCAAAAAGAGTGTTTAAATTTGATATTGAAAACAGAATCATACTGACGTTACATTCCGAAGTAACTTCCTTTGTTTTTCTGAAACAAAACTAAAAACCGAAAACTAGTAGTATAACAGGGTCAATTAAAATTTAGATATTTTCGTTATTTATGGAATTTTACATTATTATCAATATATCAATTGACGTCGATTGAGAATTTTTTTCTCTTTAGAAGATGGAAGACGCACTTTCAGGTAACTACTATCCGTTCTGCTTTTCACTTGAAAATGGGTGAATCTGCGCCAAAGTTACAAGACTGTGCTGATCTTGTTAAATTATAATTATATCTGAACATAAATGTTAAGAATTAACAATGATTTTTATTAATATAAAATATATAGAACAAATAAAACGATTACACTAGGAAAATATTACATAATAAGTTTCGGATTTCATCTTATAAAAAAAAAAACAGCGTAGATTAAATGCTCATAAAGTCGCTGTTTAATCTCATCTCACTTTTTTTTTTTAATTTTATTTTACCAAAGTACAAGAACTTACCAATACTCACACATATACTCGTGTATGGGTTTGTGTAACATGAAGATAACTTCAAAGTATTTTTGAAGTAGTTTCGTAAAACATACACTTAACTGAAATAAAACTGTTTAAATATGTATTGCCCCAAAATTTAATTTAGTAGAAACATTTTAACGCAATTCACAGATGGGGTATATTATTTAACATTACATTCGTGTGAAAATTGTTTCAAAAACGACAAACTTGAAACCTTTGAAATTCATTTTTTTTACATTTCTAATACAATATTAACAAAAAAGTAGGAAAAGTCAGTTAACAAAATATTAGAGAAAGACACTTTGAAAGGCCAAGCGTCATATTTTTATAGTTTTGAAATTTGGACTAACTTGGTGCATAGTGGACAGTCGGAAAGCAATTTTTACAGTTTTGAGCAAAAATTTTTCAAATTTATATTACAGAAGTACAAAAAAAAAAAACAAAAAAGAAAAACCAAAGCGAGAAATAAATAAAAAAAAAAAAAATTAATTTTGTCATTCATGATCATTACGATACGAAACATAATGAATTTTGGCAAAAACGAACCACATCAGACCAGACGATAATTTCTAAACGTCAGATGGATTGTAGAGCCTTCAATAATATTTGTTGGAGCTTTAGATTTACAAAAGACAAAATGTTTTCTCTTCTTTAATGCTGAAATTTCAAAAAAAAAAAAAATAAATAAATAACTGAACCATCTATTACGTATTTGATTTTGTTATGTTCCGACTAATTTTTTCTGAAAGACAGAAATCAAAGAATAATTAAAAAAATGAACATGTATAAAAAAAATCTGTTATTCAGTCGTTAGTTCACGTTACAAGCAACATTATTCTTCTGCTCATATGAATGGTCAATTTTTTTTGCGGCGCATGTTTACCGTGTGTTCATAACGTAGCGAAGCATTATAAATTCACGACAATTAAATACAACCTTTATTAATTGCAACAAAAATAAATAATAAGTTTGAGGAAATAAAATCGCTACCCACTAATCTTGTCATCCTAACCATGTGTCGGCCAAACCATATGCCGGTACAGATAGCCTGCGAAGCCTTAAGCAGGATTGTGACAGAGACTAAACAGTTATTAGGTTTCGGGTTCCTTGAATACGGTTTTCCGGGACAGCGCCGTTTATCCCGCTCTCAAAGTTATCAAAGGAGCTCATTAAGAAATTAATACTTTCACATCGATCCACTCCACTTCCACCGTCGACTACACAATTTCATATGTTTTAAAAGTAAGACAGGAGAAAAATTTGCTTCAAATGAGCAGATGCTGACTAATTCTATTGAAAACGTGGGTGTCGTTAACCGGTGTAATAATCAACATCCCACGTAGCGTTGGAGCGTAAATTAGATAACCAAACAAATCATAGCACAAGAATGACAAACTGGTAAATCTGCCTCGGACTGAAACTGTGCACAGAATTGTGTTATTTTCCTGTGGTTTCTGACAAATCGCGATTATATTACACAAGTGCACATAAGGAGAATCGGTCATTTTTGAATTGTGACGATGAACAGACTTATGTAACACACGTATTATGATTAAACATTACATGGCATAAACGCTACAGTTGCTTGTGCTCATAATGACGTTTACCAGCGCAGTCCAGCCGTGCCGGTCTACTAAGTTCACTTTCAAAAGATAATGATCAGTTCGTTGCGCTGATACATTTGCCAATTAAATCTTGACCTTGGGTTTCAAAAATGAGTTGATACTCGTTAGATGTTTCCAAAGGCTGGCCAAGCCAGGCAATTATAATTTGTATATTAAGAAAGATATACCCTAATACATAAAACAATATCAATAAAATTCAACTGATATAACTGGGATTATGTTTGACACGCAGTTTGTGCATGTTTGAAACGCCTGAAACGGTGTTAACTTCTCGCATATTCAATTTGACAATATATCAAATTATGAAGATAGGAAATATAGCTGACAGTGACAAGTATTGTTCGGTAATGTCATCATCGTACGGATTATAATTTCAATGTTCCTACAATTGCTCCTGTTTCCTTGGATAAATCCCTCATCTAGAACGCGAAATTATAACGGTTTTAGGATGAGAATAATAAAGACGACGCGACGCCCGGGGAATATTTAAGACAACATCGACTCAATTCTCTAGTGAAGATTGACGCCACCTCTCCGCAGGAAAGTGAGATAACATAAGATCTCGGCTCGAACAACATTACAAACCCCATCACATACCCGTCACTGAACTATTTAATACAATCGTCGCTTGATGTACTTTGGTAGCAGTAATTGAAAATCATGTAAAATATAGAGATATTATCGTGAAGGTTATCAAGACGAAAATAAAAAATCTTTTACAACCTCATAAAAACTGTATATAGCCAAAATGAATTTTAAGACAAAAGAATTTTCATAGGAGCTCAGTGAATGAAATGTCGCTCAAAATGGCTCCCAATATCATAAAAGAAAAGAAAAAAAATTAAACCCGAACACAGTTTTCTCAAAGGATTTTAGGTCTCTACAAACGGGACCCGAACTATATATATATATGTAAACTAAAACAGGCACGGTAAAATTCCGGTAGTGTTTTTGTCAAGAGTTCAGCAACTGTTAAAATGTTTCTTACCTTAATGCTGTCGTAGCAAGCCGTGACGCGACCGTTCTGGACCTCTACATTGGCGGGTGGGTGTGCAAATTTACATTCAGTGTCGGGTCTAGAACACTTGTTTCTTTGGAATTCTCTGCAGACTTCTAGCTGGAGCCAGCGGGAGTCTTTTCCGTTGAGTAAATTATTCATGTTGACCATTGCCATTGCGCGTAGAGCTGAAGTGTTTTTTAACAATAATTCGTACAAATTGGACGCGAAAAACACTGGACGAAGCGCGACGGTTCACCCAAATATAGTTGAGTTTCGCAGGAATTAAATCAGGTGGAATTATTGTCCATTCTTTCGAGAGATTGTTGTAGGAACAACACGACAGATCGATAACGCACGTTACTTAGAACTGTTGGAGACCGATACAAAAATAAACTTAGGTCACTGTGTTCTTGTACTCTTCTAGTGTTGTAGTTTTGAATATTGGCGTTGTTGCTAACGGGTTGGCGGCGGAGAAAGGAGCTTCAAATCGAAGTGATTCTTGTAGTTTGCAGATAAGCAGGTAGGCAAAGCGAAGCGATTGTCGGTTCTAGCGCATATTGCAAATCCGGTGTCTTCTGAAGATGACTTCTTCGGTGGCGGTCTGCAAAGCAAAAGATATAGTTAACGTCTAGTTAACATCGTAACTACATTTAGAAGGAAGGGGTTGGAGAACGACCAGATGCTAAACACTAAAACCGGTCACCTCACTGATTGACCCCGCCGTTTCCTCATAAATATTAACAAATGGGATAAAAACGGCACCCCTGTTTTCTTTTTATCTCAATGCCATCGTTCCTACAAAACGAGCTTACTAATTTATTACAAACTGTCTTCAACTAGGACCGATTTAAGGAGTTTGAATCTTGCCACTACTTTTCCCATGGCTTATGAAATACTGAATAAACTAAATTATTATACGAGAAATGTATGATCTAACGGGTTTAGGAGGATTTTTTTTAGGGCATTTTTAAGTAGACCTGTATTACCATATGGTATATCCGACATTATACGCAAAGAAAATCAGTATCTTGCACTATCGAAGACATTATTGCTTATAGTATAAATACAACCGAGCGACACAAATTATGTTATATTTTTGTTGCAACTGTTTCTAAAAGTGGGTATTTCGTCTTGTTGCCACACGTCAAAAGTTAAATCTATGTCATAAGCATGAATTTAATAACAAATAACGTACATAACTACCATTATCTAGTTATAAAGCCCGGACTATGACTCACTAATCGTTAGGTCATGCATGCTATTGTGGGAGTAGAATTTTGACGGGCAATTTTCGTCTCACCAATACATTATGCTCGTGATTTTTTCGTACGCGCAGTAAGAGATGTTGGTGTTCTTTAATTAGTTCTTGTGTTACAAAAGAAATTAAAAATAACTAACTAGAACCAAAAGTTAGCTCTTAAGGAGCAGTTTTGTATGCACGTCACCAAACAAACCCGCTGAGAGTGTACTAAATTTATTCCTTAAAAGGTTTACCGAATTTTGTGAAAAGCGTAACGAGAAATTAGTTCATAAATCTAATCCTAAAAAGAGCGGTAGTATGATCATTAATAACTTAATGATCTCCAGCATGTACAAAACTTTTCTCCAATCGTAAGCTATTTTTCGCTCTGAAAACATAAACAACTATTATAAAGGTTTTTTTTATTGCCAATGTTGTAAACGAAAATTATTACAGATACACCATGTGTCTAAACGCAACCGAAATATCTGAAATTCTTAATCGTTTTGGAACTCTTGTAAGTTTACCTTCAAATTACAGTGACATGGAAACTTTTCTTAAAGATATGGATCTCTGTACAAAGAGGCTTGTCAATCCACTAATTACAAAATTCGTTTAACATTTAGCAAAATTTAAAAATAAGATGCTGCAGGGCCAATATTTTAAAACAAGAGGTTTTAAAGTGTTGAGAAATTTGGAGCACGCAATACGAAGATACGTATACATTGTATAACAAAATCATCAAACTAAATTTAAACATACGCAACATCACAAGATTACACGATTTGCAGACAGATATTTTTGTATTATACTCAATAAATAAGATCCATTTGACACGACATTACAATACAACTAAATTTACGACCAATACGAATAGTACCAACGGCCCTGGTCCTCATTTAAATAGTGGATTGTAGTAACCGATCGTTATTAACGTTCTACTATATACGTGATGAATTACTGGACTATAACAAATTTCACCAACAAAATACTGGCCAATAACTTTCAACTCTGAAATGTGCTGCAACATTTTGCAAGGGTAAAATAAAAAGCAAACAACATACAAAAAAATTACCGGTCTCCAATTTACGCACATCTTGCTTAACTTCTGCAGCGAATCAAACACCTACTTAAGCAAATTTAAAATTGCATCATCAAATCATTGCCTTTTTAACAACAGCCTTCAATAGTACAATGCCTTCGTTTTTGTTTTGTTGTCAGAACCGTTGATTCTAGACTAAAACCTTCGTCATATCTAAGGATCAAAAAACATTTCAGAATGTTTATTTTTAAAAAAAGATAACAATTTCAGCTATTTTCACCTGAAAGTATAATGCTCATTTTATTCAATCAAATGACCTACTGCCTACACAGTGACATTCAAAATGATATAAAACTACATATATTATTCAACAATAAAACGCAAAAATAAGCAAGATAATTCATTTGTTACTGAAATATGTCATATTTTAATTTAAAATCTCTCATTTTGTTTTAAATTTTGGTTCAAAATACGAAAAGTAAAAGGCAAGGGGCTTAATGTAACTACTACACGGATATGCCTCTATTGAGATATCAGTCATTAAAAACTGTTGTACCTATTTTGACAGATACATTCCATGCTCCTAAAATCGGCATAGAAATTCGTTTGCTAAGCCTAGGTGTAGAAGTAAATGCGGTGTTGTCATATTAGTAACATCTACCTCCAGAATTACATTTTTCAAGGTAATATTTTTTTTTCGTTTTAGCAACAACTGTATACCTACGTCAACCCTTTTTACCAGTTATTACAAAAAACATCCGATCTATTAGTTTTATAAATGTAGTTTATTAATTAAACTTGCACGTAAACTTGCAACCTCGCATCGCAACAGCTGATCTCGTGAAGTGCGGCGACCAATGCGTATCCAGATAACCTCCAATAAGTTATGGGTTTAATTGGCCGTTTTAAACGTAAGTATGAAATATACCTCCTAATTTTCGTCACATTTAATTATATTTTTGCTTGCAGAACGTTTGCAACAGTTGCAAAGTAGATATTGCGATTTCAGAAAAAAATTAATATTTGTCTAGACATAGAAGTTCTTTTTTATACCTCGGCTAATAAACTTCATATTCGGTATAAAAAAGAGAATTTCTATGCCTTGACAAATGGATTACTATTTTTTGGATATTTACAAAAAAGAACTACTACATTTAGTTAAAATAACATTACATTTTATGAAATTTTGCAAATATTCCCCATGAGTTTTAAACACACTACCACTCTTCTTTTTGTATGCGAAAAAATGTTTTGAGGCATTTGTTCATGGTGGAAGATTAAGAGGCGAAATCCTAGACTAAGCACTAGACGAATTAAATTGATTGTCAAGAAACTGTTAAAAATAAGCCAAAATAAGCCGCGTGTACTGTGATTCCATTTTGTTAGAACTCAGTTGGTGTATGTATGGTTACAAAACCTTGCATCGTTTGCAAACTACTGAACCTTGAAAAAACACAGGTCCATGGACTTTTCTTCAAGAAACTGCTAACCACGCTGCAGACTTCTGGGAATGCAAAGGTGTGTGGGTTTTCAGTAAAACAACTTCTAAAATTTTGGGAATTTACGTAACACGATAAATGGAACCGAGCTTCATAAATAAATAATACTTAGTCCAATATAATGTCACCACTGAAGCTATTTTTAAATTAGTTGCAATTCAGGACGACGGTTTTTTCATATTTTTTTTCTTAAAACGTGTTCATAATGTATGAGTTTTACTCATGTTGTTCTCTGAAATATCCTAAAATACATAATTTTTCCTTTGTATTTTTTGAGCAATGAACATTAGCGACGACAAAATGAAACAACGAAACACCTTTACTTCGAAATACAAATAACAAGAAACGACTTACATTAAACTATAATTCTAGAAATGTCCAGTATGAAAGTGGCAGATCTGCTGCACTTTTTTATTTGATACATATATTTGTTTAATTTAAAACTTCAGCTTTCTTAACTCCAGTATACATTAGGTATGGAAATTTAATAAAATACTTCGGTGCCAAGCCTATAGAATAAATTGGAACTTTCATTTTCCAAGAACCTGACTGCCTGCATGACGACATTAATCCATCATGAAACATTTTCCTTATGTAAATTCTTTTCTTAATTTTTGAGGTCGCAATTGTCGAAGGTTGACACACTGCACTTTCATCACAAAAAGGTCAGAAGGAAGTTAACAATTTTTCTTATATTTTCTGAGCACTCTTCGAATTTGTTTCAAATTTAAAGATGCATTATTTTTTTAATGATACTTTACATGGGCGTATTGTGCACACAATTACTATTAGATTAAGAATGTATTTCCGTATGGTGATAGTTTTGGTCAAACCAAAAATGTTATAAAATTTAAAACCAAAAATTGAGAACTAAAAATATTACTCAACCCGCATACATTTCAACAAAGTTTGACTCATGCTGCTTGCAGTAACCAGTACCTAGCATAAACCTTTTTAAATACAAGGAGTATTCAGACTGAGTTTGATTCCATAGGTAAACTTCAAAAGTATTCATATATGTTGCTCCTTCTCGAAACTAAAGAATTATTCTAAACATACCTGTTTACCTATAATTATAATCACCTCTAAATTCACTATGTACAGGATCTGCAATTTCTATTACCAAATTTACATGATATTAAAATCATCCCGTGTACTTATTAAATGAAGTATATATTGATTTACATGGCCTTTCTAAATTTCATTAATGAAAAATTTGTATACAGAAAATCCACTACGTACCAAAAAGAACTGTTTCTAAATCACAAGCGTCCAACAAATTAACAAACAAAAACACAAGACACAACAGAAAAATGCATCCAAGTTGCCAACACTCATTTAAAAAATCCGCTCGAAAAGAATTACTCGAAGGCAAGCTTACGTAACGCAACAAGATTCCTACGCGATTCTACAGAAAGTCACGTGTAAATTAACACGGTAATTTACAGCGGCCTTGTCCTACCATACAGCTCCAATCCGCCGACCGACGACCGGACGATGACGATCAACGTCTGCGTTCCTCTCAACCTCAACGTCTGCCCATGGTTGAGTTCATATTGAGGCGGCCATATACGCTCGTGAGTGACTCATCAAGTGTCTCCTCCCAGTTCCCCACTCCAATCGCTAAAATCTGGCGTCTTTTTACTTTTACAATTCCGCACTGCAGGACGAATCTATTCCTGCTGGGATTGCTCGAATACATCATCCTTGCTTATCCCGACACACTACTAAGAGTTGCCGGGAACCGCGACTAACAAGATTTTCAGGCAATTTCCATAAACCTTCTTTAAGGCAATGAGGACTGCATGGCAACACAGAAG